AGGTTCCCAAATCAGAGGTCTCAGCCAATGTCCGCCAGCCAATTAACGAAGCAACAGCGTCGATTGGCTTCGAGCGCTCGCGAGGCCAGCGACAAGTCTTGCGTGGTCCCAGCAGAGGATCGACAGGGGCTTAGGCGGAAAGAAGGACAGCATGACAAAGTGGTGACGATCAAGGGAGTGGACAGTCACAACCTCCCTCTTCAGGAAAAAAGATCGTCGATTCAACACTGGAACTGTGCAACAGCGACAAGGCGCACGAACAGAACGGAATTCTCGACGAAGTTAATGAGCCTTGTTACAACCTTTATGCGTGGGCCGTACTGTTTGCGACATCATAGGAGGTTGGATAGGTCAGGCAGCGGTACCAGGCTCAAGGTACAAGTAAATTACTCTCTCCACCGCATGTGGAAGCACGGAAAGCTCGCGGGTAGACGAACAGTCAGGTTCCATCTTTCGGGATAGACGCTCCGGGTCGTGGGATCAAGAGGCCGAGCTTAAAGTGGAAACTTCGGGAGGCCAAGAGTTTAGGGCGCTCTGACGATCGGCCTTCTTCGCATGCGTTTACGTCCTGGCTCTTCTTCCCACTATCCCCAGCCTACTACTACTACTACTACTACTACTACTACTACTACTACTACTACTACTACTACTACTACTACTACTACTACTACTACTACTACTACTACTACTACTACTACTACTACTACTACTACTACTACTACTACTACTACTACTACTACTACTACTACTACTACCACTACTACTACTACTACTACTACTACTACTACTACTACCATTACTACTCCTGCTGCTACTACTACTACTACTACTACTACTACTACTACTACTACTACTACTACTTCTACTACTCCTGCCACCACCACTGCTGAAGAGTGTACGATCCATCTGCTGGGCCCCGATTGTGGACTATCTGTGTTGTGTACTGGTTCATGTTTGTGTTTCTGGTCCCAAACGGTTACCATGGCTGTGATTGGCTGAATGAAGGCGGAATAAGCCCGAAGCAGCACCGTATCAGTCTGTCCGCATTCTCTGACCTCCGTCCCTTCTGCCATTATAACTTGCCTGACTTCGGCCTAGTTGTTCGTTGTCTGTTCATGAACTTTGCCACCAATATGAAGCTCGTCTGTTTCGGTAAGCCAATAGAACGCTGTGCGCCTCTTCCAGACCACATTGGGTCCCGCTCGGGTGTTTCTGTTTACACCCTCACAGTGCCCCCAACCCTTCAGTGACATTTTGCGGTGCCCACGATTTCTGGAACTTTTGTGTTCAATACGTCTTATCGAATGCGGTCGGCTTATCTGGCGTTTGTTTTTACTCCCTGATTCTGAACAGGCGCATTGTTCCTTCAGAGGCTTGTGCATCAGTACTCTCTGTTGACGGATATGTTCACTCTCCTGGGTCTCATGTTTACTCTAGAGAATCTCTAATTACACATGCTCTTTTATGAAAGACGACCAACTATCTAGGTTTCTGAAGAGTTCCCTTATGCGGACGCCTGGGAGTTTGAATGCAGCCCTGAACGCTGTTTCCAGACCGCGTAATGAAGTCTTTTTTGCATTTCGAAGAAAAGTTGGCGAGCGAGCGTTGCTTTCGATAACTTCTCGTCAGGCTAATACAGTTACATAGGAAGGGGTACAGTGAGTGAAAAAGTTGATAAAAGTTAGTTTTTAAAATACAGGCTGGGCAAGAGCGGAAGGGCGCAGAAAGTTGCATGCGGTTAGTCAACCTTTGACCACGGTAAGCGCGAAGCCTGAACGAGGTTCTTCTGGGCGCGCATAGGGTCGGTTTTCGTAACCTGATGGCGGCCGCTTCTGCTGTTGCTAACAGACGCTGGCCCAGTAACTTAAGGTAGCTCGAGGGGACCTTATAAATCACACGAAATGCTTCCGCGGGGTCCACACGATATCCGGAATCAACAACATGCGCGAAAATGGCGCACCTTTTTCCAGCCATGCGGGAAGGTGCTCTCGTATTCTTTTGGAAAGGCGCCGACTCGTACGACCAAGATAACCTGCTCCACAGGAGCAAGTGAATGCGTAGATGCACATTGAGGCGGTCTGAGTTGGCAGCCTATCTTTGCCTTCTCTGCGTATAATAGGGTTAGTAAGGAGTGATATGCGAACCCTCGCTGCTGGGAAGGTTCCCAAGGTAGCTTGGTCAAGGCGTCTTCTTAGGAGTTCACTTTCAGCGTCTCCTTGGAAAGGGACTTTAAGGAACAACGTTTTTTCTCGGCGGTCATTGTGGTGGGTTTTGCGAGTCGTTCGGCAAGGTTCTTTGCAATGAACCTGTCAGGATACCCGTTTTCGCAAAGCAAGTTCTGGATTTTTTAAGTTCCTCCTCGATACCATCTGTTGAACAAAGTTTTCTAGTCTTTTGTGCCAAACACCTGACTAGATTTCGTTTTTATTAGAGAGGTATGAAACTAGCGAAGTTGGTGTATTGTCCAGACCAGATTTTCTTCCGATAGATGCTCCTTCGGATGCTACCGTCAGATCTCCTGTTTAGAAGGACATCTAAGAAAGGAAGCAAACCGGCCGATTCCATCCCCAACGTGAATTTGATCGATCGATGTGCTCGGTTTACAGCATTTAGGAGGGCAGCAACGTCGGTTTCTGTGGTTGCAATCGTAAAGATATCATCAACGTAGCGACCGTAATGTTTAAGCTTTTTGATCTGATCGCTTAGTTGAAATCTCTCCAGCTCGCCCATTAAGACATCGACTAAGAAAGGTCCAAGAGGCGAGCCCGTAGCAACGCCGTCTATTTTCACAACTCTTTTGCATTTCCGTTGTGTTTTCCCTATACGTACAACGCATATACGTTCTTATCACACCTTGTTTACCCTGTCGTCTGTTTGGTCCTCGGTAGCTTCTGCACATTGCGGCACCGCCTTATGACCCACTCTTCCTGACTGCCATTCATCCTCTGGTCTCGCATCCGCACATCTTCGACGGGTTGCGCACCGACCGAAACACGGACATCGTGAACGAGTTCCTGGGTTAGTCGTTCGCCAAGTGGCCAACCTCTGTCATTCTTCGCTCTTTGCTTTTCACAAAAATTTGCAAACGTTTATCGATTGTCATTGATGAGATTTGCAGGGAGTGCTTCCGGGCTGCACCTCCTCAGTAGTGTATTTCTTCCATTGCTCTCCTGACTCTATGTGAACAAACGATCTAAGCAGGCCGCATCGGTTTAACAAGCATCAAACTAGACCTCGTACTGTTGCTGTACTCCGTTGTACGCAATACACCTGCAGAAGCACGGAAGTACATTGAGTGACCAATCTCATTAAATGTTAGCGGAAATTCTGAAATGCGTCTTCGATTAAGAAGGATTACCTTGGCACGGTTGTAATACTGATTACCTTGCGGCATAATCTTATAATATCTCGGACTCGGCAGGATGTCAGCTTTAAAATACACTTCTTTTTAATCACCTGTAGAAACCGCACTGGGTAACAAATGACTACTTAAGTGGCATGCATTTTCCCCATTGATTTTCGATGGCCATGCAAACTCAAATATATGTTATAGAAACCATAAACAAAAATATGCTTCCTCTTAGTCTTTTGATAGAGAATTACTCCTTCTTTATATTTTATGCTCGACGAAAGAGTATAATTAGGTTTTAAAGTAGTTTTCTAATTGCCTGATCATTTGTTGCACTAGCGCTTAGCGATTTCAGTCTACAAGGTGCACGCGTTCCGCGTAAAGAAAATCACATATTTTTCTATGCTTTTATAAAGATCTCATACAGAGTCCATTAACTTTTGCAATGGATGCGGACTATGTTGTACATTTCATGATGACTTGTGGTAAGCGGACTGGTATGATGCTTTGTGAATGGATATTGCGCGGTCTTAAAAAATCTTATAATTAGAACCTTTTTTAAAACCTAATTATACCCTTTCTTCGAGCATAAAATATAAAGAAGGAGTAATTCTCTATCAAACGACTAAGAGGAAGCATATTTTTGTTTATGGTTTCTATAACATATATTTGAGTTTGCATGGCCATCGAAAATCAATGGGAAAAATGCATGCAACTTAAGTAGTCATTTTTTGCCGAGTGCGGTTTCTACAGGTGATTAAAAAGAAGTGTATTTTAAAGCTGACATCCTGCCGAGTCCGAGATATTATAAGATTATGCCGCAAGGTAATCAGTATTACAACCGTGCCTAGGTAATCCTTCCTAATCGAAGACGCATTTCAGAATTTCAGCCAAGATTTCATGAGATCGGTCACTCACTGTACGTCTTTGTCTGTTCCTAATATTGGCAAATTACTATGAATGCACCTGAAACCGTTTATTTAAATTCTCATGTAATAGACGAGTAATACCGACGATGACAGCGGAGGAACCTGGGATGGCTGTTTCGGGTTTATTAGCTGTCGTCAGCCAGCTTTACCAGGCCCCACGTCTGGATGATGGGGGACTCGAGCCTAGATTTTTCGGTCATTGAACGTTAAGTAGTCCAACGTTCTACCATTGGGCAACGGGCCCCCGTTGCCCTGCCAGCCGTGGTCGGAATTATGGGTGGGGGGGGGGGGAGAAGTCCACCAATCGGGCCAGGTAACTTCAGGGTCACTGATCTGGATGGCTGTATGCGATTCCCGCCAACTAGACTCAACGTCTTATTTCTCCAGGACTTGCACGTGACTTTTGCCACTGTTCATTTTGTTGGAGATTTCCCAACCAAATCCACTGCGGTCGTGTTCGGCTTCGTCGGGGTCTTGTTATCTTGAGGGTCGTCCGCGCAGTTGGATTTACAGACTCATTTTCGGGACTACAAGACGATGATCTGTCATGAGCACATGACGGTGATCACGCCTCCTGACGAGCAATTGGTTCGGCAGTTGTGATTGACGATGCATCCAGGTTGTCCTATGATTAAGAAACCGATAGATGATGTTGGTTACTAGGTTGCCCCCCATGCGGGTCCTCAGACGAGGGAGTTTGTCGCTTCTCGCATTCATTTCCTCTGTGACGGTCAAGCAGTTTTCGCCGGCCCGCTCGACCATCGAAGTCACAGAGAACGCCCAATTTTCGCACACTTGGCACAGACCCGAGAGTGACATGCAGGTCTTCACAGAGCTTCCACTTCGCGTCATCGTTGCTTGCCACATTAGGGGGCGGGGTGGTGGCGCTGATAGTGGCGTCGTATTCCTTCCGACGGACTGAGATCCTTACTGAAAGGAGGTGGTTGTTATGCGGTGCAGGAAAAAAGCGTGAGTAGCAAATAACATAGCATAACCAGCATAGGCGCAAGCCTTGCGCCGAGTCAGCCGTTAGGACCACGTTCGTCCCCCCAGACCTTGTCTTCTCACTGGAGCATGGTTACAAGCGGTGAACGTTTGATAGATCCCTGTAGGCCTCCAACCCACAGGAAAGCCACTGCCGCCGCCTTGCCGAAACAGCGATGGTCACAATGTCGTCCGCGATGGAGACGTTATCAGATGAGGGCATGTGAACCACCACCGACGGAGAAGTCGTAATGTTACCGCATGTTTAGTCAAATGCGTCAGCCACACCATCCTCTTGCCTCAGCCCGTCTGACTGCTCATTGTACTTTCCTGGCCTCTTCCTCACAACGCCATTATAAGCGCACCCCTCTCATTTTGAATTTCTGTAAATGACAAGTTTCGAGCCCTCAGATTCATTGTCCACTTCACTTTTTTCTGCTTCTCCTTTTAGCATGTTACGAAAAACAGATGAATTCTATGCAGGTAGATTGAACCTGCTGGAGCCAGCCGTGTGCATCCAAACTCTCCCTGTACATGATCCGGTGTAACTACTCACTTTTTTATTCTTCACACCCTCCGTCTTTTTTGCTAGTTTGTTTTCCTTGTAAGTACTAATAATGCGACTTCCTTTTTGGTTGGTTTAAATGTTTCATCCAGAGGGAGGGGGTACCGCACAATCTCCTTTTTACCATTTCCTACTCTTGTGGATTGCCTGCAAGATAACTTGATTCTGCACCGCCTTCTGTTCTGTTCCCACCACATCGACAGCCGTTTCATGGTATTGTTTTTTTTACTAGATGACCCATTACTCGAGCCGATTTGAACGATGAGGCCAGACCGTTTGTGCCTAAAAGGTTGTACACGAAATGACACAGTAGGCCTTCGATTCTGTTCCGTTGGTCTTTAGTTTCGAAGTAGTGTTTAAAAGAGAGAGAGCAAGTGAGAGAGAGAGACGGAGACGCGTATAAAGTTACTCCGTAACCGGACAACCTGGGCGTGAAATCACTCTCACGAACATGTTACTGACCGGAAGGTCAGTGGTTATCCTTTTTCTGAATATAAGTGGTGGGGGTAGGGAGAGAGAGGTCGACGACTCAGCGCATTTTGCTCACTGTTAACAACCTGACGCGTTTGAAGCTATCACGGCCCGCTGAAAACCGTGGTTTCGGAGGCTACCAACTAACGGGATAATCCGGACCCCACAGTCAGCCCCGAGCGTGTTTGTGTGCAGTGGCTGAATGTTGGACCGAGAGTCAGGCTACAATGGCTCCTTAATATGGCCTTTTTGGCACTCCCGGTCCGTGGGATCCCAGCCGGGTGTGGTGCCGTGCCTAGGGGTAGCTCCGGTCGCGCTAGCCACGTGCGTCCTCTCCCACCCATCGTCTTGACTATGTCTCGACACCGAGTGCAGATGGGGGAGGAGGAGGAGAGAGTGAAGTAGATGCTGCACAAGTCTACTACCACTATAAAGTAAATCACGCGCGAGTCACCGTCCCTTCGCCCACCCTGCTGTGGGGCATGGTGGACGTACTCGTCAAGATCGGCAATTGAATTGTCAATAAACGAACGCCTGGCGTCGACAACGCGCCGTGGTCTGCCCATGTGGACGCTCAGAGCCCGCAGGCGGTATTTTAACCACACCGCGCACGCAGACCGCTACAAACAAGATTGTACGCGGTATACAGGCGCGCGCCCGCCCGCGCGTTCGTCCGTTTTCCCTCTATACCGAAAAACAAGACAGGCTGTTTTGTAGATTGGATTTGCAACTATAAACTTCTAGAGAGACAGAGAGGAGGAGGAAGCGGTTGTTCATTGGCTCGCCGACGAGCGTCCGGCGTTTTCACTCATAGTAGACCGCGTAGAGCGTGGCCACTGCGTAGAGGGAGTTGTTGGAGTAGGAGGCCTCGGCGTAGTTGTCACCGCAGTCTGCCGACCAGATCGCCCTGCTGCAAAAGCATGCACTGGCGTCGGCCAGCGCGCCAATGTGCACCACTGCCACGAACTTGTAGCGCAGAGACTGCTGTTGGGAGCGGGCCTGTTTTCTCACCAGAATGGACAAAGTTGTGGCCAGTTGAGTGGCCGTTTCGGGTGAGTAGGTCACGTCTGCGAGGGTTGTGGCCAACAGTTGGTGAATGCTGCGTTTTGCCTGCAGGGAACGAGGAAAAATGGGGCGGAAACCAGAACACCATGACACCTCGCCGATCTGCACTTTAACCACACACACACATCCGTGGCGAATCTCCTGTAAACTACTGAAATTCTAGTATATACAGTAGATGTGCTAACTCATGAAATGTCAACCAAAATTTCGAAATGCGTTCTCGTTTCGAAAAGAGTAAGTAAGAAGGGTTGTAAAACTAATCATCATGATCCAGTTACATCAGGATGCCGGCTTTCGAGTGGACTTCCTTACGGTTTCATGCAAGAACTACACTCTGTGAAAAATGGCTACTTACGTAGCATGCATTTTTCACATTGATTTTCGATGCCCCTAAACACTCAATTATATTTCATGGAAATCATGCATAGAATATTAATTCTTTTACTTTTTCGGTAGAAAATCACGTCTTCCGATTTTATACTCGAAGGGGAAGTATAATTCGGTTTTAAAAAACTTATTCCTGAATAATTTTGAACCCGACTTGCTGTTGCACTTGCATTCAGTGCTTCAAAACTACAAGCTGTATATTTTCCGTGTACGTAAAACCATGCGTCTCTCTACGGTATTAAGAGGAGACAATATGGGGTTCATAAAATTAAACAGTGGATTTGAGCAATATTGTTAACTTTGCAAGCCACATTCGTAAATGCAGATGCATGGCGTTTTACAAACGGTCATTTCATGGTATTAAAAAATCTCCGAATTAGAAACTTTTCGAAACCGAAGTATACTCCTCCTTCGACTATAAAATCGGAAGAAGACGTGATTTTCTACCGAATAAGTAACATAATTAATATTTTTATGCATGTATTCCATGACATACAAATTAATTTTCAAGGGCCTCGAAAATCAATGAGAAAAATGCATGCTAATTAAGTAGTCATTTTTTTGCAGAGTATAGTTCTTGCATGCAGTCGGAAATAAGTTCACTCGAAAGCCGACATTCCGAGGTAACTGAATCATTGTAGAATTATACTGCAGGCTGATTAGTTTGACAACCCTACTTAATTAATCTTTTCGAAACGAGAATGCACTTCGAAATTTCGGCAAAAATTTCATGAGTTACCCCACCTACTGTAGGACCATAACATAAGCGTGGCACATAAACTTTTGACATTTGAAACGACGAGAAATGTTGTCATCGCTTAGGGTTACCAGGGGTGAATGACACCAGATTTCTGGTTGGTGGGCGTTGAGTCCTTAGGATGCATAAGTGAATGAAGCATTATCGCTTCCGGCCTGCGAATGACCGCAATCCCAAATTCGCTCATCAGCCTAGCGGATTTTTCGGTGACATTGCGCACCAACATTTCGGTCTTGGTCGTCCCATCGAAGAAAACCGAGGACTTGATCTACGGCCGTATCGATTTTCCACCCGGCTAATAAGCCTTACGCGAACAGATCAATGACACAACTGGGAGTCATTCTCAGCGGTGAGCAAAATGTGCAATGAGTTTTACAGTTCTTTTATTATGTTGGGAGGGCGTCCACCGATCGGCGTACGGCACGGGACCATCCCACTGTGCTTTGAGAATCAACCTAGAGCCCCCAGACTGTCCCACAGCGAATACCCATGCATTCGGAAGGGGCCACCGACAAAACCAAGAAAGACTGGAATGACCACTTCTGGCTTATTAGCCACCGCCACCAGCTAGCTATACCCTGTCCCAGGCTTGCAGCATCTGAGATCGAGCCCCGGATATTTGGTCATTGAGTCGAGCGCTGTACAACTGACCAAAAGACCCGTTGTCCTATCGGTTGTGGTCGTGAATGTTAATTATGATGGCATGCTGCTCAGCAATCACGTTGCGTGCACGCTCGCCCCCTTTTGACACTGCCGTTGGCCCACGGAACCGTTGTCTTGTCGGTTATGGTCGGGATTGTTATTTATGGTAGATGGGCACTCACGGATCAGGTTACGGAGCGTGCTCGGCCCATAATTAATATTTCCGATCGAAACCGCGACACTAAGCGTGTTTATCTACCCTTACAGAGTCATAAATGCCCAATAGTTTGGACACACTCATACAGAGAAAACCCTCCGAATCGTTCATATCCAAATGATTTATACTCCACGTATTCTGATTTTTACCTAGATCAAAGCTGACTACACAAGTATGCGGCAACCCTTTTTCTCATGCATGGGAGCCTAGCGAGGTTTGGGGACTGGGCCGCTACTTTCCACTTCATGGAGGAATATTATTATTTGGTCAACTCAAACCCAAATATTCTTCTTTTATTCATACTGGTATAGCACCGAACTACTCCTGTAGAAAGTAGCCGTCGTCCGTTAACTGCTCACTTCAACAATAATGAGATCTGCATTCTTTGCATGACTGAACCACGGAGTCCAAGGATTTTTTTCGCTGGAAATTCTGTTTATTTGAAAAAAAGATGAGATGGGGAGAATTACACGTTAAACTATTTTTAATCGCCCTAATCCTGCAAAACTAGACTCCCTGCTTAAGAATTAATTCGGCGTTAGGGACTTGTCTACATTTGACTATCTTCCCCTCTTTTCGGGTATTCTAGTCCCCTTCCACTACGGTTCGTTGGTATGTGACGTCGAAAAGATGCCTGGTGTTGACCAATTCAACACCGCTGCAATCCAGATTATCGCTGCCAAGCTATGAGTATTGACAAGTAACACGTGCTTTTAATGAAAATACGAATTCACACTGCCAGAAAACCCTCGTTCTTGGGCGGACTCTATTAGCCGAACGGCGGAAATATTAGATGTGGTAGAAGTGTCAGCGGCCGCCTGGTAGCTCAGATTGCAAATCAGTCGACTGGAATTCGAGAGATTGGTGGCTAGAGATCGTCACGATGGGAAATTTTTTGATCTCTGTAATTTGGCTTCCCTTAAAATGCTTAAGTGAGTTGTGAACTCCAACTGGTTTTATTTGTGAACTAATGAGTACCTCTGCAACGTCGAACTTTTCATCCGGATTCGGCCCAGTTCTGTAGGTGTTTTCGAGTCGAAGAGGCTGGTGTCGTCCAAGCCGCTGGAATCGCCAAAGGGAGAATGAACTGCGCGGGAGAGTTGACTTTGTGGATTTTCGATGCTGAATTTGATCATGAACACGCGTTGCCAGAGAAACTCGTCTGCTTTGTGGGATAGACGACAACTGATCCATTTGGTTGTTCACGAATGTAGGATCAGCGTCGATCTAGTTAGAATCGCCTCAGTGTTTATTCTTTGGCCGATATAGTGGCGTATGATCTAGGGAGAAACGAAAAGAAGCAGATGTTGACTTTCGGTTAGGCAAAACTCCATAATTAAAACCTAGAAGACTGGCGTGAAATGATGAACAGAGGAGGCTTTTGAAAGGTGTTTTGAATAAGAGTTGTATGAAATTTTGAGCATTTCGACGTTGCTCCACACGGACAGACAATTCCGGATCGACGACTCGTCGTGTGAACCCCCCGACTCTTCTACAACCAAGTAGGTTCCACGGAACAAGCATACTCAGCATGAACACCCGAATCTAGACATAACGCGTAGGACAACTAGCCAACGGCTCAACTACAGGGCCCGAGTTGAAGTTCAATGAGGTAAGGAGTCCCAATTCTAATCTCAGACTATCGAGACGTGTAGTCTTCTGACGACAGGTGATAGGCCACAAATATGCAAACCTGTCTCTCTCGGTTTCGTGGGGATTTATTGCATACATATACAGCGAGTGTCCGATCTCATGAAATGTTTGCTGAAATTCCGAAATGCGTTTTTGATTAGGAAGGATTACTTAGGCGGGGTTGTGGTAGTGATTATTTTGCAGCATAATCCTATAATATTTCGGACTCGGCTGGATGTCAGCTTTCGAATGCACCGCTTTTCGATCTCTTGTAAAACCGTACCTGGTAAAAATGACTACTTAAGTGGAATGCATTTCTTACAATGACTTTCGATGGTCTTGAAAACTTAAATATATTTTATAGAAATCACAAACACAATATGCTTCCTTTCAGTCTTTTGATAGAGCATCACGTTATGTTTATATTTATGCTCGAAGAAGGAGTATAATTAAGTTTTAAAAAAGTTTCTAATTATGAGATTTTTTAATATCGTGCAAAATCCATTCATACAGCATCGTATCTGCCCGCTTACCACTGCTCCTAATGAAATGTACAAGATAGTCCAAATCCATTGCAAAATTTTATGGACTCTGCATGATATTCTTTTAAAAGCATGGGAGAATATGTCATTTTCTTTACGCGGAGCGCTTGCACCTTGTAGACTAAAATCACTAAGCACTAATGCAACGACTGGTCAGGCTCAAAATTATTCGGCACTTAGAAAACTTTTTTAAAACCCAATTATACTTCTTATTTAAGTATAAAATATAACGACGACGTGATTCTCTGTCGAACGACTGGGAGGAAGCATATTTTTGTGGTTTCTATAAAATATATTTGAATTAGCAAGGACATCGAAAATCAATGAGAAAAATGCATGCTACTTTACTAGCCATTTTTACCAAGTACGGCTTCTACCGGAGATCGAAAAGAGGTGTATTCAAAAGCTGACATCCTGCCGAGTCCGAAATATTATACGATTATGTCGCGAGATAATCACTATTACAACTGCCCCTAAGTAATCCTTCCTAATCGAAGACGCATTTCAGAATTTCAGCCATCATTTCATGAGAACCGTCACTCACTGTATATTCAAAATGGTACTACCCGCAAAGACAAGGGAGGCTGAAATGGCCATTTCTGGCCTATCAGCCGTCGTCAGACAGTCATACCCATCCTCAGCTGTGATTCACTTGAGATTTGAACCCGAAATCTTTGGTCACGGAGTTGAACGCTCTACCGTTAAGCCATGGACCCGTTGTCCTGTCGGTTATGATCGGGAATATCAATTATGATTGTGGGCGCTCACCGATAAGGCTACGGAATATGCTCGTTGCGTTGTGCCTTGGAACTCATATTAGAACGCTAGCAGGCAGTTGTACAGCAACTAGTAATAGAATTAAATGACATGGTGCCGACAAAGACAATGGAAACCGGAATGGCCATTTTTGCCTTATTAGCAGCCGTCAGCCAGCCATCCCCAACCGCGAAGTGTGGCTCACCTAGGGCTCGACTCCACGCACGCACGAACACATACACAAGTGTAAAGTTTAGGCCTAAGGTTAGGGTTGGGTTAATGGTAAGGGCTGGGGCAGAATTTGTCTGCCGCATGCAGTCTTAGTCGGTCCGGCCTTCTTTAACCAACAACTTTGGATTATTTGTTTTCCGCCCACTTGTACGCCCTAATTCTCATCCGTCAACTTGTACTCTCTGTCCCTTCACCTCGTTGGAGTAATGAAGCAAGCAAATGGCGAAATTTCGCGTTTTCCCGTTAAGTGTCCCGCCCATCTGCCCTACTGATATAAGTAATATTGACATTCTTCTCGATAAAGGTCTTCCTACATGGTTGGATGGTAAGGATCGGAAGGCCCTAGATGGTCGTTTAGCTCTCATGGTGACGGTCACGAATACCTGACCAATCATAACCACTCACAACAAATTCCGGCCAGTTCAATAAGATAAGTCGGAGGGTGATAAGAGTTAGGTGTTTTATGCACCGGACAGGTTGCTGCAATCTGGCAGTACGTTGATGGGTCTGAACGGAAAGCGCACGTGGGGGAAGGGGGGCGTGAGTTGCGTTTGCTTACATGTTTGATGTCTGTGTCGGTATTAGAAATTGATTGGTCAAGTTACTTGCGTGTTCGAGCTTGTGATTGGTTGTTCCCTTAGATGACCTACGGGAGCATTATCACAAAGCAGTACGGGTGATACGCCACTGGTTACCATGCCTGAGATGACGCCTGCTTGTGGGTTTTGCTGGGAATCCGCACAACAGAGCAGTTTGGCCGGCTGTCGTTAGTTGATGTCGTCCGCCTCATCACCTAAGGTTGAGCTACATGTTGTAACACGGTTGGTTCATCGTAGCCGACGTCGGCCGGTTTTGGATGTCCCTAACCATTGCGGTCGGTGACAAAATACTTTTCGTATCAGCAAAAGAATCTACAGGGCCCATCTAAGGCGGCTAGGATGCCTCACAGTCGACGTAGCGCAGGTCCAGTAAGAAAGCGCATAGAGAGCGTAAGGGAGAGGACAAAGGATAGAGTCGGTAACCCCAGGGAGGATGATATGCGGATATTGTGTATGGCTCTGTGGAGTCGGTCCAAATAACCGGCTATTGTTAAAGTACCTGTAGGAGAGAGGCAAATTCACGAGGCATTCTTAGGTAGGTTCCTCAAACAGACTCAGCTACAGTACAGTCAGTGTCAGATTTGGGAGTAAGACGGAGGAACAGCTACAGCAGCGAGTGTGTCAGGCTATCGAGTGAAATTGGGCTTGGCCGTCAAGTCAATCTTCGAACTGTCGATGGAAACAGCCGATGGGCTACTTTGCCTGTGAGTGGTATGTCATAGTTCGATTTGAGCTGATGCCGAGAAACAGTGAATGCTAGCGAACCAACGTGAATTTCGATTGGAGGCGGCAGTCATTTTTGAAAGTAGCAGGAACCCCGGTGCCTCAGAAAAGCGTTGACTGCGTCTGATGCGGTGATTTGTGGGAATGGTACAGCAAACAGCGGATACTGTGCTCGTCACGACGATAGCTAAAAACTCCCTTTGTCCATTAAAGGCCCGCGCGAGTTGTAACTGAACTCTCAGCCTTGTAGACACAGTGACACCGGTCGACATTTTCGTCTTCTGTAAGTGAGCGGTGGTCGAAAATGTCTAGGGGCGAATGCTCCAGCCTCGGCATATTGGGCGAATCCACCTCTGACCCCTTTGTGCGTTCCAGGCCAAAGTACGGGATTGCCTTACTGATTCGGTCTTCGGGGCTTTTGGCTGGGAAACTTTCTGTTGGCGACCGTCGTAAATCGGCGCAACCGTTAGAAGGCCTATCAGGTATACGCGACTGAAGTGTTCATTAAGAATGGTCAAGGTCCCCGCTAGGTAGACGGCATGCCGCTGGATTTTGGTCTGCTTAACTGGGAGATAGGGTCGCGTCAAAAACCGCACCAGATAGGTCCACTGCCACACGAAATTTCATACACACGATATCGCATCGCAGAAGAGAATGTGAGAGTTCGTGAGGAGGGGAGAGTGAGAGAACGAGTGCTGGTTGGAGAGGAAACGTCGGGGAGAAATTCAAAATTCTACCGGGGGAATGTTGAGAGCCCGCTATTGGATTGTTGGCAAACTTTATTGCAGTGGCAACGCCCACCTCAAGGTGTGAGAACGTGTCGGCAATTATACTGTCTTTCAGAAGACGAAGATGCTATCACTGGAACAAGAAAGTTATTGGCCTAACGCTTCGGATTCTCACTTGAATTCATCATCAGAGACATTCGCAGATAAAGGTGCTGTCTTTGTTACGAACACTTTGGAGTTTGCGGGAAGACCGGAAGATGAA